AAACCCCAACCCGATGTTGATCCGACATTGATCCGCCACAAACGCAAAATTGACCCGACAACAACACGACATTGTGTCGACATCAACCTTAAATTTGCCTTGCATTGATCCGACGTCGGGTCGACTGGTCTGTTCAGGACCATTTTGCTGGGTTTCTTCCATACTCTACTGTCGTATATCAAATGATAGTGAGTGACTCAATTGACAGTGACAATGAGCTTCGAATGAGAAAGGGGCTCTTCAAATAATGGTCATGTGAGAATTCGTTTACACAGAATTGATTGAATGGTTGTATTGGGTTCATCTTCAATCGAATGATATGAAACTTTACAGCACTGGTTACAACTAGTGCTGTGACGAGGTCGTAGTTATCGATAATATCGATATCGATTCTCTGAAAATATCGATATCGGATTTAGACTATAGTCGCTATATTTATAGTCTGGCGGATAGAATATCGATCTATCAAAAAGTGGAACCAATTCAATATATTGTACACCAACAATTGAAAAGGTACTATCAACTTTTATACACAAAACGTTGATTATGTTTTCCTCGCCAACCGATCCCAAATTACCAACATCATCGGATAGGGGAAACTTTCCCCAGCCCAAAGATGATCGTGTTGGTCGTGATTTGCTCGATTCGCTATTTGACAGCTCAATTGGTTCCCGAGATTCTATCCACCAGACTATACATATAGCTAAAGAGCCTGAATTTATAAAGAGGCGACATCTTATCCATTTGACTGGTCTTCTACTCGATTGGAATGACTTTTCCTATGACTTTGACATACAATCGATTGTTCCAATTTTGACATGTCGTCTCTTTATAAATTCAGGCTCTTTAGGTATAACATGTTGCCAAACACAAAAAGAAGTGTCATTGATACCAAGAGATATTCCAAATGGACAACAATTTCGCAATACTATCATAGATTATCGTTAATATACTGCCGTTATACGCATAAGGATTGCATACACCGAAAAAAGTTTTCATATAGTTTCCATTGGGAACGCACATGATATTTTTCCAATAACAAAATTGATGATTTTCATCTGAAATTCACATAACATTCATATGATCACATGAATTCTATGTGATAAATCACATAACTTTCATTGGACACGTAAGGTTCATGTGATTTTGTAGTGCGATTCCCAATATTATGAGATCACATGAAAGTAATGAGAAATTCATTGGAAATGTAATTTATTTTTTGAGTGTAGAACATGGGACAGTTATGCGTATAACGGCAATATAGGATTTTTAAATATCAATTATCGTATCGATAATTTAGAGCCGATATTAATCGATAATATCGGACTTATCTATATCGTCACAACACTAGTTACAACCAACTTAATTACTGGCTGTAGTTTGAGGAAGGTTGTTCATTTTAAATGTTAATTAGAGTTGCAAACTTGTGGTTGCTCAATGCTCAAAATTACTCAAATAAAATGATACCGCATGCGTGATAATGTTTGCACCATTGAGCAATTTCAAAATTATAAAAATTCGCAAAAATTTCGTTTTCGAGTTTTTTTATTTATTCAAAGCTGGGTACTGCGGAGTCGACCAATTTTATTTTGCAAGCCAATGGAAAACTGCTTGAAAATGTTCTGAAGTTTAAAACTGATTTGCTCTTTCTCAGTTGATTCCCGCCAAAAGCTCTGAGCCAGGAGTGCTCGAGCCCCCATGACTCTATCAAAGTTTGTTTACATACATGTTTCGCCAAAGTATGTTTTACTGTAATTGAAAACTCAGCTGCCTCATAAAAACTATACTGCTTTTTATACTTTCATCACTGAGCCTGTTGGTTTTTATCTTTGAGCTTAACATTAAGAATGTGTTATGAAAAAGTATAGATCATTTTTATGAGATTACAATGCTTTACGGTAGATAAGAACAGTAACTGCATTTGCTGCTTCTGAATGTTTGGCTCCCGCTTGACAGTTCGCACTGGCTCCCAAGTGACAACCACCTTGAGTGAGTCCGCAGTACTCAGATTCAAAGGGGGGATGTTTCTCAGGGCCTCATAGCCTAGCCAGTAAAGGCACGGTGCTACCAAACCGGAGGCGGCGGGTTCGATTCCCGGTCCGGTCGAGGGAATCTTTTCGGGTTGGACATTTTCCCGACTTCCCTGGACATAGAGTATCATTGTGCTTGCTGCACAATATACAAATTCATGCATTGGTAATAACTGTGGAAGTGCATTTAGAATACTAAGTTGAGAGCACGCAATGAGCTAATATGTGCTAAGCAATAAGCTTGAAATGTGAACAAGAAGAAGAAGAATGTTTCTCTAAGACTCTTAAACTATGTTAATCATCGATCGAGTTTCCACGGAATGCACGGCAGGTTCTAATAATGTAGTCTGGATCCATTTCTCTCCAGGTAAGGGCCAATGTTTGTCTGAGGCTTGCTGTACTCTGATGAAGTTTGGCCTTCATGACGCGCCATATTGAGTAATCCAGCGGATTAAGATCGGGGCTGGATGGCGGCCACATATCCTTCGCCCTAAGAGATGAACTAGCCTAAAAAAAAGAAAAAAAAATATCCTTCACCCAGAACGAAAGATGTTCCAACCACTTCTGAGTGCGATTCGAGGTGTGACACGGAGCCCCATCTTGTTGAAATACAACATTTCGGACCGTACTGTTCTTTGATCCACGGAAGAACATACTTACTTAAAATCCCGATGTAAACCTCCGTGTTGACCTTGTCCCTTCTGGAATGAACACCGGGTCCATTTTTTTTGCCATCGGAAGCCACCAATGCAAACACCATAACGCTAGCAGGATGCTTGGTCAAATACACGTTCTTGTGCTCGTCGACCACGTCTTTTACCGGAAGAGAACTAATATACCGGTCGGTTCTGGAATTTGAAACGGGATCGACGGTAAACATGCTCTCGTGCTCAGGATTACCGGATTTTTTCGCTTAAGGAAGTTCAAGATTTTCTTGCATTGTTCGACTCGTAGCACCGGGACACTCACTCCCACGGCGATTGAAATGTTTTTTTGCGACATTGGCGCGTGGGACAAATCACGAATACGCGCCACTTCGTCATAGTGCAACTGTAACAAAGTAAATCATTTTCTTTTCTACACAGCCTACTACGGTATGAGCTATAGGTTACGTGCATCCAAAGAAAACCAAGGCATTGTATGCACAGGTGAAACGGGAACCTTATTTGTACGATGATGCAAATATTATCACGCGTACGGTATTTTGATGATGTTGGGCCTAATATAAATTCAACTGAGATCCTGTTGATGGGTTGATAAAAATCCATTTCCGTTGAGGGAAGTTGTTAATTGTAGCAAAATTTAACCTCCAAATGGGTATGTGCGTTTCTTAATAGATGTTACACCTAACTGTGTCTGGCACAATTTAACCTTCGAGTATATTGCACCATCTGCTCGATCAAGCCTTGTCAACAACAAAAAATCAATCCATTGAGCGTATTGGCGCGCCTTTGCAAGAATGGTGAAGAGAGTTATTCCTTATTATGTTCTTAACAGCCTGATTAACACAGCACAGATAATCAACTAAATGAGAATTTAGGATTATGGCAAAGACATCATATCAAGAAGACTGACAACTTTGCTAAAATCCAAGCGGCAAATACAGTAGCGCTGCGCTTGAGTGAAGGTGGAAGCAACGCATAGAAAAATGAGCAAAACACAAACCTTTCGAGTGTACCTGTCTCATAGCGTCCGTATGAGAAGATGGAAGAGTTATTACCAGTCTTCTTGATATGTTGTCTTCGATAATGGTCTTGCTTGGATGGAATTTTTTTGATGGCTTGGAGCAGCACTTATGATTGAGTGATGATTCAAAGATACGTAGACAAGCATTGCCTTGACAGCATAGAGGGGCTTTATTGAATAGTCTAGGTCTTCATTGTAAACCTTTTTAGCTCGGAAAATTGGCTTCTCAATGAAGTTTTAGTATCCATGAGTTGATGGGTCGATATGTAGGGTCCAGGTAGCATTGGCACTCAGTACAGAAAACAAGATCGATGGAAGAAAAAAATCAAGGAAAAAAATATTAGTAGGGTAAATGACGGTTTCAGCACCCATTGACTGTTTTCGGCAACCAAAATTTAAACGATAATTTCTCTATATTTTATCACCAGAACACTTCGCTGTGTGTATTCAAACAATTCCCTAGTCTTTCAGCATCAACCTTATCTGATTTTTACAACTGAGAATACGCATTTTGCCAGGTTTTTCTCGAAATTAATCATACACACTCCTAAATGTGTCTGATTTCGAGTTGCCGATAATAGAACAGTTGGTTCAATTGGAAAGGTTGCCGAAGAAAAAGAGGTTGCCGACAATAGGCACACTCACCTGAGAAGTTTGAGGCGTTGTAAAAACTTTTTCAATCAGTTGAATTGGATACAATCAGCATGCAGCAAATAAATGTAAACATACAAATACGTCATTCGTGTGCGTGATGCAGATAAAATGCTAATAGAAGCGTGGAAGCTGCTTACATTGACGACAATACGTAAATTCCCCTATTTTGATGTTGCTGCTATTGCAATTGAGATGAAATTAACTTACAGAAGTTTGGAGCGCTGGTTTTACGATTTCCCACCGGTGGAATACGGCCGCAAATTAGTGTTTGGTTAAGCGTGTTAGGTGTTATCCTGAATAATTTTCTTACTGAGCTGGGCCTCACAATGTGATCAAGGGGAAAAATATATAATGGAATTAAAGACAAGTGTTTAACATGTAAGATGTAGGAGAACTGGGAGAACAGAACTCCTAAAGGTTTGAAATTTGCCATGCAAAGTACCTCTGCTCGTATTATGGAGTCAATCGAGGTAAGAAACGGATCATGAGCTTGCTGAAAGCTTTAAGCAGTTAAGCGATTTTTTAATATTGAGATGGCTGCAGTTTCCTTCACACATCACTGTCAATCATTCAAATGTCTCGAACAGCTCTAAAATTAAAACCGTTCCCTTTTCTCACCTATGCTTCCAGGACTGGACACTACCACCGAAGGACGCCGGAGACGGGTATCCCGCGACAGTAAGTGACCAATCGCTTGCGCCTCAGCCGAGAGTAATTGTAGCGACACCGGCAGCGGTCGGCGTCGCAGCATTCGTCAGCTGTACGATTCACACCAGCGACAAAAACGCCGTTTCCTCTATTCGCACTTTTTCGAGCAATCGGATGATGACGAAGATCAAACCGAGTTTAACGACGACGACGATTGTAGTTATAATGGTGAGCTCGGAGAGCACAACAACAACAACAACAACAACGTAGTCGTTGATGTAATTGGAAGTGAGAGTGGTATTATAGAGGACGAAAACAGCAAGGAGACAAGTATCTGTGATGATGATCCGTTGCTCAGCGAAGAGGTGGATCCTCTTTCAACCAGCGGTTCAGAACAGGTGTTGCTCGGTGGGGCGGCGGCGACAGCTGACGTTAGTAGCAGCAGCAATGGCAGAAGGGCGGTAGTTGAGGCGCAGTTCAACGGGAGAACCACCCGGTCCAAGCAGAGTGCGGGCGGCGGTGCCAATATTGGTGGCACCGTTGGTGCTGGAGCCCACGAGGATGAGGATTCTTATGCTAGCGAGATCATTCTTACGACCAACAGTGATTGTAGTTTGGATGAGTTTGTATCGTCGGATGACGACAGTAATCTGGAGATATCTGTGGTAACTATTTCTCTCTATTGATAAATCGGAACAGTTTAATTATTTTTGTGTGTGTATTAATGAAATGACTGCTGGTTTCCGGAACTAGTTTTGCCATCCAGCTTCTTTTTTTTTCCCTATAATTTTTACATTAAGACAAACATCACTGGAAATTTTTTTTTTATGAATTTCAAACAGAAAACCGTAATTGTGAGGCAATATTATATACAAATGAAATGTGACTAATTTTCGCAGAAATATACATATATTTATTTTGACTATTTTTAATCGCTTCAAGCGGCATGTATATCATGAAAAGGTTTTTAATTCCTTTGATTTCTTTTCAAATTCTTCGGAAAATTATGATTAAACTGTCCTACTTATCAGAAGTTGAAAAATAGTTTTAAAACAGGGTAATTTGTAAATAGTCTGTAAATAGTAGCTGGTGAGTTAGAAAGCAATTGACTTATGAAGAAGAGAACAGTTTTAAAGCGACAAAAGAATACGAACAAGTTTTATCGAATCAGTTGGAAGTGGTAAATATTTGCACATTGGTAAGTGTACAGGAATTTGTGGTCGAAAAAAAGCTATTCAGGGCATTTAGTTTTTTCGCTGTTTTATCTTATGTAGACTGAGGCAAACAAAATCTTAAGAACTCCATAAGACATTACTTATGAACCTGGACAATTTGATGTTGTTATAAGTTATGCATTTCATAAACACGACTTATAAATAATTATCGTAATACATGAGGTACTATAACGAGTGGTTCTTAACACCTTTAATCAATTGTGTTTCCCAAGCGTTGATAGACGTAGGAACAAATCACGGCTATCACTTATGAATTCTGTTTCATACGCCAAACTTATGATTTCCATAAGAAATCCTTTTGTTAACATTTTTATAAATGGTTCTTATGGAATTCTACACGCAGGAAAAATAACGTAAGAATTCCATAAGAAACACTTGTGAATTTTAGCCATAAGAAATGAGTGTGAATTTCATTGATTTGCCTTATGAAAAAAATGTTGACGAAAAAATAATAAATCGGAGCAGACTGGAACCGGCAAATGGACGTTGGGGTTAGGGGGCCCGTATGTTGACCACTTGTCTTTCAACGCTTGTGAAAATGAAATTGTTAAAGGCGTATAAGAACTACCTCATGCTAACCGAAAATCATTCATAAGTCGCACTTATGAATTTCATATATGTTGTTCAGAAGTCGAGCCTTCTTTTTTTTTTTTTATTATAGTCACATTAACACTCTTGGGTCATTCGTGACTTGTCCGGGGGTGAGATTTGAACTCGTGACTTTGGCGTGAAAGGTATGGATGTTAACCACTACGCCGGGGTCGCCCCCAGTCGAGCCTTATGAAGTTCTTAGGTCTATTTGCCTCAGTGTAACGTTCCTTTGCCTCAGTGTAGGGTAGGGAACTACTTCGGCATACTTCTGTTTGATCGAACAGAAGCATCAAATATATTAATGATTTCGACGTAAAAGAATCAATAGTTTGGTTCAAATGTTACAGAACAGTCGCGTAATATGAATATTTACCTCCATTATTCTCAAAACCAAAGGGAACACTCCCAGCGAGTCCATTTTTTCTGCCTTCATCCATGCATGCCAAAGTGAATCCAATTACGCTTCAATGTGTTTGAACGGAATTGAATCTCGCATGACGAAATTGGAATCAAGTTTTTTTTAGCAATATCTGAACATATTGTGACTCTATCAAATCCTCCTACGTTGGAAGGTAAATAAATTTAGAAGTCATCTTGATAGCATTATTCCATTCTATTGATAAAATCCGCTCGAAAAAAGGAGATGCAAAATGCGGGTTGTGCTTAGTATGACGAAAATCAGATCTTAACCCTGCTTGGATTTAGTTTTTTGTTGGATTAATGTCCTTTTTTTTTTGATTATTTATCGTAATGTGTATCGAATTCCGGGAAGATTTCGTTTCAGGTTCTAATCATTTCGAACCAAAAAAATTAACAAGAATACTTTAAAATCCTGATGATTGTGGATGTCTGTAGTGTATAAAGAGAGAAGAGTTAGTAATATACATTTAATTATACTACCTTAATTGCTTATCCTTGACAGATACGCGTATTAATATAAGAAATAAAATAAATCTGCAATTTGTAGAAGAAATACGCGTATCTGTAAAGCATAAGCAATTAAGGTAGTGGAATGGAAATCACTAACCGTCTCTCTTTCTTCATAGGGGAAATGGATGTAATGTTGGCTTAAATTCCCCTAATTTGGGTCCATACCTAAATTCAGCAATCGACTAAATTTTCAATAGCGGCAAAAAATATCCATTAGTACCGTCCCAATAACGCGTTCATCTAGATAAAATTGATAAATAGCAGATTTCTAGCGATGGGCCCAATCTTAGATCCATGGCCCAACATTAGAGCCATTTCCCCTACTTTAAAATTTGTTTTACGGAAATAACGTGTATCAATGAGTATAATTGAATTGGTACAACTTTCGGGTAGCAGTTTCTATAACAGTAATAACCAGAAGACCGGTTTTCAACGTATTAATATTAATTTTTATTCCCTGCCCTGGAATTTAGGAGTACATGTGCGGTATAAGAAGTATTTTTTTTCTCGGAATTTTACGAAACTTTTGGGTTTATGAACATAGCGACGTTATGTAATTTAGCATGCGACGAATGGTTTATAATATTTGCTGTTTCTGATTGCTATTCCCGGAAATAAAGAAAATCCGTTTAGTTTCGGTTGAAGTATAGACTGAACGACAAAATTAAAGGTCTAAAGAGTTCTAATTAACATTTGCCCATTGTTGCATTATACGTTCTTAGATTTAGCAAATCTTTACACTTACCATCTGCTGTACAACTTTTATGAATGAAACTGTTCTATTGAAAACTTCAGCCATAGTCGTCACCGTCATCATCATCATTCGCGTCATTGTTAGGTTAGGTATGGATTTAGTCGAGATATTACACATTTTATCTATCTGTGCAACTAAATTTAGTTAGTTGTGTGTACGGAGGTATGTGAAACTTTTGAGTTTGATAACAGCAAAAGAAAACAAAAAATACGTTTGAATTTGAAACTCAAAATCGAATAACAAATGTGTTTGGTAGCCGGAATCCATCTGTATATATTTACAAATTGCAATTGGAAATACAAATGAATGTCAAAGCAAAGGTAGAGTTTTAGTTGGACGGAAGCAACAGTAATATATTTGTTTCGTTGAAGATTCAGGGATTTGTCTCAGTAGCGTTACGTGTTCATCTCCATCTATAGGTTCCCACCAAGTCCATGATAGAACTTACTCAGTTCACCATCAGTCACAAACATCCCATATCCCATTTAGCGCTCGCAAGCTCTATGCAATGTTGAGGTAATCAGTATGCATATTGCTTCGCAACATTTTCCAATAATGCCTGCTTCTTGTTGGAATACAAAAGGAAATAACACTTAACTAAACAGCAAATCGTACATTCACGTTCATCTATACCACGCGAAGAGACGTTAAACCATCTTGACGCGTGAACTGACACACAAACACAGTGACATAGGAGTTTAGTTTAGTATGCAGAAATAAAACGACTCACTAAAGGTTAATTTAACCAACGCTCTGTATTTACTGATCGTGTATACACAATCTATTTCTTATACTTATAGAATACAAAGCAAACGCTAAGAATCAGAAGTAAATTATTGAATAAATTAATACTACAAATTAAATTTATTAAGATCGAAATATCATTGAATACGTTTCACAAACCTTACTGCACCCATCGCGAGATCAAAGATGGGCGTTGACAAAAAAAATATGAAAAAAATCTATTTTTAAGGACAACACACAACATGGTAAAACGACAAAAAACATGTTTCAACACAATTGATTGAAATGGTAATAATTATAAATATTCAATTTAATTTAATTGATTAAACAAACACATTTGTAAAATGGAGAAAATATATTTGCTTCCCGAAACGCTGCTGCTGGACGAAAAAAAAAAAACGTGTGAGAGCAAAGCATTATTTGTACATTATTCACGAGTAAATCTAATACCCTTACCCTAGCGTAATCCTCACCTCTTAATCAAACTCACACACATACAAACCGCATTGTCCCCATCCATCCATTCTCCAAGCACATATACTCACTCACAGACACACACTCATGCAATCATTCGACACTATGTTCACTTTCTTCGTAGGATCACGAGTATAAGCATTCATTCCTTTTTGTTCTTAAACATAAACAATTATTAAAACAAATATATATTTTTCATCAGTTCTGTTCGTTGCTATCTTACTTTGTTCTTTCTTAAAGAGAGCCCAACGTTAGAAAAAAAAACTTTCCTCTATAAATAATAACAATTGCCAGGAAGTAAAATGAAACCTAGATTCATGAAGCAAAAAAAAAAAAAAAACAAA